GAAGGCATCTAGAAGCTCTCTTTACATGGAGCATACCTCATCTATTCAAAGTTTGAATTAAGTCATGGAGAAACCAGTTCATGATCCTACAGATATGGTTGACTACCCATGTGTTTAAAATGGTCCAGGGCTCATAGACTGCAGGACAATAGCAGCTGAATATTTTTATGTTTAACTCTTTCTGCCAATAAAATCCTTACTGACATTTATGGACCCTGCCATTTTGACTTACTGTGTGCTTATGCTAAAATTCCAAGGAAAAGGTGTAATTTTTTTTCTCTCCCCATATAGTCTACCTTAATAAGGAACAATTCATTTTACCTGGACTTTTCTTTTTAATATCACTGTAGCCCTGAGACCAGGCAGAGAAAATATCAACTGGAATGTTTAAGGCAGGAGATGCTGGCCGTGGGGGGAGGACACAGAGGGAAGAATATAATGAAAGGAAACCACTGTGACTGGTCCATTTTTAAGAAAGATAAACAGCCTGGAGCATGACTTCCCCAATCTGAATTTAGAAGGCCCAAATTTGGGGAATAAAGGGATCAGTACTTCTGCTCTAGGTGTAAAATTTACCTCAGAATTAAAAAAAAAATAAAAACCCAAAATTTCTGGTGGATCCAAGGGTTAGGCAAAGCTTGTTCTGCTCCTGAACTAAACAAAACTTTAAATGTAAAAAGGCAAATTCTTATTGTCAGACATTAATTTTCTCCAAAGCAACAGGGATAACGCAGCACAGGAGAGAAAGCAAATAAACCCAAGTTTGTTTTTTTTCATTTTGGTAAGACCTCCTACTCAGTGTGTGATAGGAAGGTCATCAGTACAGGACCACCAAGGCTGGGCCTCCACACTAATATGCTACAGGTGCACATTGGCCATAATAAATCCCCAACGTCCATAGGGATCATGATGGCATTCGCCCTTATTAGGGCAAACACATCACTTAGAGCTGTTTCAATACTTACCCTGGCACTAACCATAATCTAATCCTCTTTTAATCAACTAAATACTAAAAGGACTCCGACTATTTAATAACACACTTAAAGCTTGGAGGTCAGAAAATGGTGTTACTTTCGTCACTAGAAAGGAGAGCAGCAGAAATTCCATTGAAGAAGACAGCAGAAAGAGGAAGAGGAGCGCTACTCCCACACATCCCCTCAAGCTGCTGACACTGAAATCAGAACAGGGAACCTGAATTTTAATTGCAAGACCAGGCTTCCTAGATTAATAAGAAGCAGAGATATTCCACTGGCAATCAGATCCTTCAGCAGGAAAAGCACGGCATCCATGGGTATGACTTAACCTGGCCAACTTCACTTAAAACCTTGAGCTGCCTGAAACACATGTACAGTTAAGTTATCTGTGTTTTTCTTTTTAGATAGGAAATTTGGAGGCAGGGACTATCTTCTTCCCTATATTTGTACTACTAGACAGCACTAAAGAGACATATTTAACATTAGGGCAGAGTATTCATCCTTTGATGCATATTTAATGTCAGTTATACATCACTGTTAGATCAGTATATAAACACACATATGCTCTTGGACAAAAGCATCCATGCATCAAAACCCTGCATCCATACTTTAATGTATTTAATTGAGTAAGCCATTATCACTAATTATGGTTTATATTTTCATAATACTGTTTTATGGTTATTACCTATTCCTTTCTATCTACCCATCTATAAGCCTTACATGCTGTGGTGCTATCTGAAGGCTCTTTGTTTCATACAAGACAAGAAATCACCACCCAGGCTGATCTCAGAGCTTTGACACCACCCATTCTGCAATATCAGGGCTCCACACTGATTTACTCAATTTCACATACAAATTTCACACTTTGTGAAATGATCACACGTGCATGACCACACTCCCAGGGAGCTTTCCCAGTGCTATGGTGCCCTCCAAAACAGCAAACATGACAGGGAGGGGAAAGGTGGTGCAAAGATGGAACCAACGTTTCAAGCATTTTATTAATTGCTTCTAAGGACATGAAAAAAATGCATCAATCCAGGAAGAACAGCTCAAAAGAAAGAAATTATACTAACTGGACACATGCAGAGAAAAATATTAAAAAATCCTCGATGGTTTGAAATGAAAGCTAAATTTTGGAGAACATTCTTTTGAGAACTTTTTGTATCCTCTGAAAACTTTTCATTTAAAGGACTGTGTCTTTTTAAATGGAGTAAAAAGTCTTCACTTCCAGGGGTATTGTCATGCTACTGACTGGCACAGCCTTTGTCCTTCTGAGGGGCACAACTCAGCTGGCAACATGAGGATATGACAGCTCATGATTTCCCCATCACAGAGCTGTAACAGGACACACCACAGGCAGCGGTAAGAGACCCACCAATGTGCAAGCATGTGACAGAAGTAAGTATCATGTTAGTCCAGCAATTAAGAATTGTTTTTGAAGCGTACTTTATTTCATTTAATTGTAAAAATTTGTATTAATTGAAAAGTCTGATTTTTCTGGGCACCTCTGGTGCACCTCTGGGCACCTCTGGTGGTGCAGAGGCTACAGCCAGAGCAGCACAGGTTCCTCGGGCATACTGCAAAAGCAAAGCTGCCTCCACAGAGATCCACCAGGTCTCCTAGATTTTTGACATCTGATAAATTTTAGCTGGGGTGGTCACTCCACAAAATACACTGGTTTTCCCAGTCCATACCTCGGCCTTTCATTTTTCACTGGTTGCATCTGATATCAGACACAGAAAAAACACAGTAGTGTCTCAGTTGTCAGTACAATGGTGCAGAAACATATCAGCAAAAAAACCCTCAAAAAGTAGAACTATAAAACATTTTCTGGTTTACTAGGATTTGATATCCCAACTCCTGATGAAAAAATTCTCAGGAGGAATCAATGAACATTTTTTAAGGACTTCAACCAATCCATGCAGACTTCAGCAATAATGGGAAAAACAATCTAGAAATATTAAAACAGATCAAATAAAGCTCAGTTCTCACAAATAATAATGGCAATTTTAGAGCCACAAATAAAGTAATGCATGTTAGCATATGTATGGAAGTAGGTAGCAAAAGATCCACATGTAATTCAAATCATTCTACTCTATGGCTATAATGAGCACAGAGACAAATTCAACTTGTTACACTGCAGCTCAGTCTAACACATGCTCAGCCTGACCCTCTCATCTTAACACTGATTAAATAAATATTATATTAAAAAAATTCAAGAGAATAAAAAAAGAAAAACAAGGAGAAAAAAAAAGAAATGGGTAGACAAAGAGACTAAGAAAGAAAAGAAGAACTATTGAAAGCCTGTGCAGACAAGTATGAATCAACTATTCTAAAAAGCAGATGCAAAATGAAGCTGCTTAAACATATAAGGCACTTCTACATTGTATTCAAATAATGCTGAAATTATAGAGCTGTCATTTGCAGACCTGTCGAGGGTGCCTTTCTTACCACATTATGATTTAGCATTTCTCTTAGAAGGTTGTAGCAATTTTGACATTAGAGTCATTGGACAGAAAAGCTATAAAATGTACGCAGAGCATCACCTCTCTTTTTCTGTAGTCTTAAAAAGAGCTCTGAGATGTTTGCTAGTAAAAAAAAAAAAATTAAAACCCTGAAATTATTTGTAAAAGTGCAGAAATGCAAGTCTCAAGAGAGAGAGCACACACATCTGTAGAACAAATGTAACTGTGAAGATTTAAATAATTTGATGTCATGTAACTTAATCTGACATGGCAGGAGGTTATTTTACAAACTGTGAAGGGCTCTGCCCACTGGTGTCATTAAAGCCTCCTTGAGAGGCAACTCAAAGATATGGATTTTTCTGGAGGCAAACACCCAGCTGGTAGAAATGGAGACTGAAGGAGCAGAGAAACTCTTGATGACTCTCTTCCCAGACTGCTCAGCTCCTGGTGAGGCAGCAGGTGTGGCACTTAGACACAGAATCCCTGTAAAAACGAAGGGCAGGTCCGGCCTAACGCGAGCAGTAGGGAAGGATGGCTTCACACCAGCTTCAGAGACAGCACTGGGCATCCCTCAGCAGGGTCCCCTCCCATGCGTGGGAGGGTGGGGAAGGGTGGCAGGTATCCCTGGGAACACACACTCCCCTCTGCCCGCTGCTCCCAGGGCTCTGCCTGGCTACAGGCTGCAGCTCTGGGAGCAGGCACACGGATAAAAGCACCTCTGTCAGCGAGCCTGAATTGCTCAGAGGAAATTGCTGAACCTCACAGGTCCAATTAGCTGCTACACGCTCACTGAGACGCCCCTCCAGACCGATCCTGTTCTGCACGCACATATGCTGAAACTTTCACTGCACACTGTATTGTGCCTACTAACTTTGCACTTGATTTTCTACAAATCAGAGGCATATCTGGATGGCTGAACTGGCTCTGGACACAAACAAATATATGGACATATTCATACATTCAAAAGATATAAGCTGCAAATGCTGATGAACCGTGCAATATATTTTAGGTAGTATTTTTAATCATTTTCTCAGATTGTTATAATTTGACGAGATAATCCTAACCACTTAGCTCTAATAAACTCACAGATCACGAGCAGTGGCTGCATTAAATCCATTGTCACTAGCAGTAACACGAGGAGCAAAGGCTCAATGGCTCTTCTCACAGCGCTTCGTTTTATTCACTCTCTAATTCCACATCAGCTGCCACCTGGACAAAACTCAGAAACCATGACACCTGCTTGAACAATAAGATGCTGATCAGATGGAATAGACTAGGACTTTATCTTGAGAGCAGAAATGTGAATTGTTGGTAACACAATAGCTTAAAGGGTTTGTAAATTATGTGCCTTCAGCTCAACATATGGCTCATGTGAAATATGCACTGGTGAACTTTTCTCAAAACTTGAACTTGGATGATATAGTGTGGTTGCTTCATAAACACAAGGTATAAATAAGTAAAACTTTACATGTAGACAAACAAGAGAGAGTGTCAAATGGGACCCTTTAAAATAATGATACTATTTTACCTTTCCTTAGCAGCATACAAATAATAATGTTACCTAAAATATCAACAGAAACTTCACAATACTGCTGTAAAATCCAGGCAAGGAAACCTGTGGCCTTCTGGTTATCCTGTTCTGATGTGGAAACCATCTCATGCTGCCATTCTTCCCAGGCAAGGAGTTGAGATGTAGGTCTTCCTTTGGTTGGGCAGAGCACGGCCGCTCAAAACACCTCCACCCCAGCAGAACTGTAGTTTCTGCAACAAGAGGTATGGTCAGAACAAAGAATAGTCTATCTGGGGGAAATGATTGTGTCTTTGGAGTCAGCAGGGACATGAACACATGAACAACCCCACCTTCCGCAGACCAGTGACCAGAGAAACTCCTGATATCTACTCACAAATGCATTTGCAGAAGCATAAGTACCAGTTTGCACACACAAGCATGGACAGTGCAAGTATTTCATGACCTCTTTTGTGGATTTTCTGAGCTATATCTCTGTGTGGGTTTTTCACATGTCATGTGGGGATTTCTGGGTACTGATAGTGAAGAAGAAAAATCTGAAGAAATATGGCTTCATATTGCCTTTAGTGACACCAGCCAGTGCTGCTGAGACACTAATTAATTTCTATCCATTTCTTTCTCAATTTTTCAGAAAAAAAAAAAACAAACCTAAATGTTCAGAACTTTTTCAGGAGGATGATACAGATTTAAAAAAATTAGTCCCCCACTCTAATGCCAAGTTATGGTGCTTTATAGCAGCCAGCTTTGCAGTGTTAAATGATCTTCTGTAGCCTCATCTTTCTGTCTGCCTACAAGAAATAGTGACAAATTACAGTTGCAGGGGGAGGGGAACTGAAGAAATATTCCATTTTTAATTGCCTTTTCATTTTCTTTTTATAGCCATGCTTAAACTGTGAGTTATCAGAAGCTGTTCGAAGTCTTTCTTTTACCATTTTAAAATATATTCCTCCTAAAGCCAGATGAAAAATACGGTTAATGGGGTTTTGTGACTCCCACAAAGTCCCCTACAAATTAAGGGACTTTGAAAAAATGTCAGCTGCCCAGTTCCCAAGAAAGAAAAATTAAACAATAAAGGCTTATCGACTTGTTCCTGAGAAGATAAAGCACTTATGAATGAGACCCTCTCATACTCTTTGGTTTGTGATCAGAGCAATTTCCAAGATTCACAGAAAATATTCTGATTAGCCAACAAAATGCTCAGATGAAATGAGGTTTAAGATTTTGCAACTGAATCTCATCCTCCCTTCAACCTGTTTTGATACAATGTGCTGTCTCTTTCAGTCATGCTGCTATCACTACCAATTATAACCAGTGCCATAAAAACATCACATCATGCAGATCAGCTGATTGTGCCAAGTTCAAAAAAGGACAGCAGGATAGAGATGACAGCAGCTTCTGCTGGCTCTGCTCCAAAGTCCCTGCAGGCCTGTTGTTTTTCTCTTCTGGAGACCCCCAGGATTTCAGTCTCTGAAAAATTAATGCCGGACTTCTTTCTAAGAGGAGCTGACTCCCAGTCTACCGACACCATTGAGGGTGTTTCCACTGACTTTGACTTGTCATCTGCAGAGCTCTTCATCTTTCATGTCTTCGTCTTTCACACTATCTTTTGATGCCCCTGCCACGTGTCAGCCTGAGCAAAAGCCTTAAATTGCAAACTCCAGTCCCTCATCTCATGTTCAATACATGCACAACACATACAGATAAAAGTAGGATTGTGGCTGCCACCTTTGCTGTTCATATGGCTTCTAGAAGGTCTAAAAGACCTTAGAACAGAGTGGGGGAACAAGCAACCAGTGGAAGATTTCCAATTTTAAATTTTCTCCCTTGTGAAGTCCTGTCCTATGCCTACTGGTGAAAGGGAGACAACATAAAAGGAAAAGGCAGGCTCACACTACATTTTTAGTGTCCAAGCACAGTAAGCCAGACATCTTTCTAGAATTTTGCTAGACTACTGTTGAAAGCCTTTATGGATTTCTGAATTAATTTATTTGGAAATTGAAAACTATTTCACCTGAAAAACTATAACTGTAGATAGCTAGCTAAATTAGTCAGAATTGAAAATTGCTTTAAAATGTTCTACTTAAGCTAATGCCATTACCGAAAGGAAGCTGAAGAAACCACCTCTTCTTACAATGCTCAAAGGAAAATGAAATTTTAGAAACATTTTTCTTATTTTCTTTTTCTCTGTTACTTAATTTTTCTGACATTAGAAATGTGAAGGCAGTTTCATCAGCAACAAGACAGTGGTCACTTGCAAACAGGAGGATCATTCATATCTCCATATAAGCAGCAGCAAAACCTGGCATATGATGTTCACTGCAATTTTTTTTTTTTAATTCTACAAAAGAATTAAAGATAAATAAGGATTTCTATCTTACTTACTCTAATCTTTAAAAAATAAGAAAATCTAATATCAAGACAGTTGAACACAATGTTCAGCTATGCTTTGGGCTCCTAATCTGCCCAGAGTTGTATATTTTTAGCATTCAGCTGATTTGACCAGCTAAGCAGGGGCAGCATTAATTGCTGCAGGAGGCTGACGTGGAAGAAGAGTCACATTCTTCCCTGAGTGTGGCGCAGTCTGCCATGACTCTGCAGAGTGACACAGCGAACTCAGAATAGCAACTGAACCAAGTGAGTCTTCCTAATGACAAACAGGGATGATAGAAAATGATGGAGTGTCTCTGAAATAAAAACAAGAAGCAGAAACGACACAAAGTCTGTAAAAGCAGATCATGCTGAAGGAATATTTGCTTTGATTCAACTGATGGTAAAAGAAAACCCAGGAGAAGGGCGAGTTTGGATGACATTCAAGTGTGTGTCCTGTGTTAGGAGGAGGATAGAGATACCATCTGCTTACATTACCCTTCATTGCTAGAACCACAATGGTACATTGTACATATGTACCACTATGAAAAGAGCCTTTGCTACATGAGAAGAGGCCATGGCCAACAAAGTCAAAGATTTGCTGCTGACTCAACTGCTGGCCTCTGCTAGGGCTCCTCTGGAGTGGCTGGTGGAAGGCAGAGCTGACAGCTGTGGGGTGCAGCAGGAAAGAGCTACCTGCTCCTTTTGGAGTGAATTTTCCCTGTACTCATTCTCTTCCATAAGGGAGAAATAGTGAAGCAGTACAGTTATGTTTCACTCAGTCCAACAAAAGTGACTCTGGGATCTTTGGTCTGTTAGTTATATGTTTTAATTGATGCATTCAAATTCTAAAAAAATGAAGGTATGTTTTTGTCAAAGGTGATAGGAACAAATGAGGAAGCAGAGAAGACATTTCCTAATCTCTAGGAACAGAAAATCCTTTGCCTCTTCAAACAAATCCAGATTCAAAAAACAGTCAGGCTTTCTGTATCTCATAAGCACCTGATGACCATATCTCTTTCTCACCAGTATGAGATGCAGGAGGTGTACAATCACTTTCCTGGTCAAATGCTAAAGAGGCATTGTATATAAAACGCACAGACAAGCAGAATAGGTTTACATAATGTTAATACAGATAAATGACATGTACAACATATCTAGCTTCAATTTAATTAGATTAATTAGATCAATATAATTAGCAGTGGTATATTACGCTATCAAGACTTAGCCTTGCAAAGAACACCTCTAAAAATGGTTTACAGTCTTAAAGCATTGTAACAGCGTATGCAGTATCCGTGCTATCACGCATCAATATCACCACTAACACACTATTAATACTGGGAGTTTATAGGACACTCAGGAGACACATAAAACACTACCCTTGCAGAGGAAAATTCTGATAATGGAGTCTGGGAAATTATTTCAACAGTTGAAAAGAGCTCATGGAACTAAATTCCAAAAAACAGCGTAGCCATGATTATATAGCAAGTTAATTTAACCCATTGAGGCAGGAGCAGACATAATGAACAAAACAGATCGAGGTAAGATGACTTACCAATGAACACTTTGCTGAGAATTCTTCCAAATTTTTGTACACATAATAAATCACAAGTGGCTGTTTAACTATTACATCACCTACTTGGACATAGACTAGATGCCACACTTGATGAAATCTTTTACAATTGTTATCAATTGTGATTTTGTATTAAACAGGTCTGAAGGATTTTGATTCAACATCTAAACCCCCATAGTGGTAAAAAAATGTTAATTTACATCTGCTAGCACTCTCAGTACACTTGGGCTCAAAACTTACATAATAAATTATGTGTGTGTATCATCTCAAATCAAATATGCTAAAATCATAGGTCTTGCAAGGAGGAAAGAACAAAAACCCAGCATTTCCAGCTTGTTCAAAATAAAAGCAGCCAATAAAATTCAGCAACACAAAGTGATAAATTTGCCAGAAATTATGTTTATTACTTCTCCAACTAAGAAGGAAAATTCATCTTAACAAGTAAATCTGCATTTTTAATCTGAAGTTTGCACTGATGTCTACTAAGAAATAAAGTACGCAGGCTACTTAGCTAGAAAATGTTTGAGTTTTTCTCTGCGTTTGGACAAATGTAAGGATACATCTATTAATGGAAGGGATAAATAATTGAAGCTGCAATGCAGAAGATACACAGACAAGGTAGAAATACCCAAATGCATATTTCCATGTTCTAGCCTTTACCAGTGAGAGATGGCTCAAACTGTATTTTCATTTGAGCATGGAGTACTGAGGAAATAAAATCAACCCATTTCATAAAGATCACCTCATAGTTCATCTGCTACCACATTCACCTCTCTAGAAGACTGAAGAATGTAAGACAAAATGACCATATTTCAGTGCATGTATCTTGACTGCCCACAAGAATTAGGTTTCAGCCATCCTCAAGTATATTTAAAGCAGAAATGAAGAAAGATTTCCAGTGGGTCAGATTTTTTTAGAACAGATGCAATTAAAATGTATGTATCTCCCTACAATTGTCAAAGGAACCCCTCCCCTTCTGCACAGTTTTTCAGGATTATACTGTTCAATATTATTTGATACATTAAGGTTTACACTGCTCCAAGTCATCCATCCTTGGTTAGACATTTTCTGAATTTTACTTTTTATTACTTTCAAGAAAAAGTTATATGCACAATAAATACAGTTCCCCTGTCTGTTTGTTTGGAATATAAATTAATGCTTTACTGAAGAAAACCA